CCAAAAGAAAGCAGGGTATCTATACTTAGATCAGACAAAATAGACTTTAAGTCTAAAACTTGCTTTTGAGACAAAGAAGGTCATTATATAATGATAAAAGGGTCAATTCAACAGGAAGCTATAACATTTATAAATGTATACATAGCCAACATTAGAGCACCTAATATCCAAAGCAAATAAAGATAACAAAAAACCTGTTAGAACTAAAAAACAAATTTAGCAAAGTTGCAGGATACAAAATCAGCATACAAAAGTCAACCATATTTCTATACACAGACAATGAACTACCTGAAAAGGAAATTTAAAAAATAATCCTCTTCACAATAGCAATAAGAAAAATAAAATACTTAGGAATAAACTAAAGAAGTGAAAGATTTGTACACTGAAAATTTAAAAACATTGATGAAGGAAATTAAAGAAGACACAGATAAATGGAAAGACATCCTGTGTTCGTAGATTGGAAGAATTAATATTGTTAAAATGTCCATACTACCCAAAGTGATATACAGATTCAATACAATTCCTTTCAAATCTCAATGGCATTTTTCACAGAAATTGAAAAAACAATCCTACAATTTATATGAAACCACAAAAGACCCCGAATACCAAAGCAATCTTGAGAAAGAAGAACAAAGCTGGAGGCATCATATTTCCTGATTCCAAAATATATTATAAATTTACAGTAATCAAAACCGTATGGTACTAGCATTAAAACAGACATATAGACCATTGGAACAGAATAGAGAGCCCAGAAATAAATCCATGCATCTATAGTCAACTGATCTTTGACAGGGAAGCCAAGAACACACAATGGGGACAGGATAGTCTCTTCAATAAATGGTGTTGGAAAACTGGATATCCACATACAAAAGAATGAAATTGGACTCCTCTCTCATACCATTTACAAAACTCAACTCAAAATGGATTAAAGACTTAAATGTAAGACCTGAAACTGTAAAACTACTAGAAGAAAAGGTAGGGAAAAAGCTTCTTGACATTGCTCTAGGCAATGATTTTTTGGATATGACACCAAAAACACAGACAGCAAAAGCAAAAATAGAAAAATGGGATCGCATCAAACTAAAAAGATTCTGCATAGCAAAGGAAACAATCAACAGAATGAAAAGGCAACCTATGGAATGGAAGAAGATATTTGCAACATCTATCTGGTAAGAGGTTAATATCCAAAATATATAAGGAACTCATACAACTCAATAGCAAAAACAAACAAAAAAAAAACCCAATTAAAAAATGGGCAAAGGACTTGATTAGACATTTCTCCAAAGAAGACATATAAATAACCAACAGGTATATGAAAAGATGCTCGGCTTCACTAATCATCAGGGAAATGCAAATAAAAATCACAATAAGATGTCACCTCACACCTGTTAGAATATTTATTATCAGAAAGATAATAGATGACAAATGTTGGCTAGGATATGGAAAAAAGGGAACCTTTGTGCACTGTTGATGGGAATGTCAGTTGGTGCAGCCCCTTTGGAAAACAGTATGGAGGCTCCTCAAAAAATTAAAAATAAAACTGTCTTATGATCCAGCAGTCCTTCTGGGTATTTATCCAAAGGAAATGAAATGAAGATCTCAAAGAGATATCTGCATTCTCATGTTAATTTCAGCATTATTCACAATAGCCAAAAAGTGGAAGCAACTTCAATGTCCATCCATGTTGAATGGATAAATAAAATGTGATACACAAAGACCCTATGTCTATGTACACACACACAATGGACTATTATTCGGCCTTAAAAATGAAGGAAATCCTGCCATTTGGGACCACGTGGATGAATCTGGAGGATATTATGCTAAGTGAAATAAACCAGATGCAGAAAGACAAATACTGCATGATCTCACTTATATGTGGAATCTAAAATAGTCAAACTCATAGAAGCAGAGAGTTGTTACCAGGGCCTGGGGAGAGGGGGAAAGGGAGAGATGTTGGTCAAGGGGTATTAGTTTCAGTTATGCAAGATAAATAAGTTCTGGAGAGCTAATGTACAACAATGTTACTATAGTTAACAATATTGTGTACTTGAAATTTTCTAAGAGGGTAGATCTTAAGTGTTCTCATCACACACAAGAAAAGGTAACTATGTGAGGTGATGGGTATGTTAATTAGCTTGAGTGTGGTGATTATTTCACATTGTAAACGTATATCACATCATCAAATTATACACTTTAGCTGTATACAACTTTTAATTGTCAGTTTTACCTCAGTAAAGTTCGTGGTGGGGGAAGACTGAATTATGTTTTTTTGTGGCCAAATTCCTGAATAATTCCTTTGGACAATCTGAAAAGAAATTAGCTATCTAGCAATTTAGAGGTAGATACTATGGGAAAGTTTTTAAAATTGGCTATGATAAATATATTATTGCTACTTTCTTAGTAAATTAAACAATTTTTGTTTAGTGTATCTTTCTGTAGAGTTATTAAATTAATGAGAGAATATTAAATTAACTTGTATTATAGATGTAAGTTGCAAGTAAAGTCTACCTCATATAGAATGATTCAATTTTTAGATTAGCTCAATAACACTAGCATTCGGTAAAGTTTTAAAGTTAAATGCAATTATCACATATTTTTACCTTTAATCGCCAAAGATTTTGCACTGTGAAATAACAGTAATTATTGACTAATTTAAGATGAACCTATTTTTAAGCTTGGCCAAATGAGAAAAATATCCTCATTCTTCGTATTAACATCAGTTGGATTACCTTTGAGTAGCTCTTGAAGTTAACTAGGTATATTTTGCTTGTTCTAAGGTAAGTAATAGGATTCTTTGATTGCAAGCAACCACAACCAGCTCTTAAGCACAAATGGAATTCTTTAGATTAATATCAACAACATATGGAATGGACAGAAAGACTGGAAGAGTAGGCCTGGAAAGAAGTAGGCTGAGCTGCTTTAGAGGGTTGGGAAGTAAGAACTTCAGGAATGTCTCTTTGCTGGTATTTTTTGGTGAGGACCCCACTACTAAAATGAATATACTGCTTTGTCTGTTTATTACTCTCAATAGTAATGGATATCTTTAGTCAAGATTCAGAATTCAGGGATGGGGTTTTCAGTTTAACTTAATTCACTTGCCTGTTCCCTGGTGTACTGGAGTGGTGAAAGAAAGGGCCTTTCTCAGGATCCTCCAGGAACCTTTTGTTTTCATAGAGGCGGGGCAAGTGCAAGGATTTACTATCTCCACATTCCTCACAAAAGGTAGAAAACAGATGCGGCATGGATGAAAACTGCCTACTCAATACCCTGAAATCTCTTATCTCCTGTTTTAGAGGACCAGCTACCATAGAAAACAATATCACTAGAATTTCTAAGCACAAAGATCTAATGACAATACCTTAATTTGTCATTAGGCGAAAATTCTCCGTGGACGAATAGTGCGTAAAAACTTTTGTGAAACTTCAGTTTCTTTTTCCATTTTATGTGGTATAAAACTTTTTACTTTCCAGAAAGAATATTTTCTAAATTGGAGGTTATTCAGTTACTTATCATTAACTGAGTTCTACCAATGTCATTTCCTCACAGATGCACATCTGTCTTTCTCGCATCCTGCTCTGATTTATTTCCTGTAAGCCACTTATGACGTTGGAGTTGTGTGTTCCAGTGACATTCACTAAAGACCCTAGAAAGAGGGAATAGGTGAAAGAGAAAAATCCCCATTTCTGCTTTATATGATATTTCTGTCAATCTGAAAATTTTTCTAATCATTCTTTACTGTTTTCATAAAAACCAATGTTAAAGTACCTTAAAAGTCTTTAAAAATTTTTTAATTTTCCAGTGAAATGAAATTATTGGACCTAGCCTAGAAGAATCTCTTAATGGGATACATTCTCATTGACTTCTGCCTTTTTCACTTTCAGTATTCCATTCTGAGAGAGAATCTAGTGTTTACATCAGATAATATTTCTTTGTGGACATAGTGGAGCAAGTATTTTTAAATGCACACAGATATCCTTAAAATCAGAAATATTCATATGTAGCCTGTCAGAGACATATAAATGGGGTTATTCCATTAGAATCATGGTTAACAGCCAGAGGCGTTGTGCAGGCTGATTTTCTCTAGTGCAGGATTGTCTTGCTAGCACACCACTGACTGTTTGCCACCCACAGTTGTCTCTGAAAGTAAGTGGCAGGCATATTACTTCCTGCTTCTGAGCTGATGGCTCTGAACCTTGGTACACTGATGTCATGGACTCCTGTTTGAGGATGCAGGTGCCTAGGTGGTATTTTAAGGCCTTTTAGAGGTAGAATAAGACTTCTGCAAACAGAATTACGCTTTCAAATTATCTTTAACCACCAGTTTAAATGCTGAATTAGTCTTGTGACAATGATCAATGGGTTTGTAAAGTTGGAATTTTGGCAAAAAGCTAGTTCTTTTGCAAGTTGTTATTAACAAGTAAGAGTTCTACAAAAATGAAAGTAAACCATGAGTTGTTATAATGGCTTCATTCTGTAGTTGAAATATTTCCAGTGGATTATATTGTTCGATGCAATTGTCATTATGTGATTATTTTCATGAAGATTTATTAGTAATTTACTAGTATTTTGACTTCTATCAAAAACAATTATGGAAACCTCATGGATTTTTTATTTTTTCTGCATTTTATTTTTTATTTATTTTAATTGTTTTTATGTTTACTGATAACTTGTAACTTTAAGATATCACCATTGTTTTTTAGTTAAGATGCAAAATGCAGCCTGAGTCCTTTAGTCCTTTAGTGATACCTCTGTGGAAAAGATAGGAAATCCAAATTTCACAAGTAGTGATGTGTTGTAGCCAGCAGAGAAAAAGTGAAAAACACATATTGCAGGAGACAAAATAGTCATGGCCCCAACTAGCCTTCCTATAGTTCTGTTCATAATCTGTTAACATACCATTTTAAAAAGATGAATTTTGGGGGCCTAAATTGATACCATTAGGTTCCTCTGCCATTGCAGAACAGTGAAGTCAAAAGCACTCACCATCTTAATATTCACAGGACTGTGCTAAAGAATAATGATTTAAGATCAAGACAAGAGTTAACTGCCCACCTCACCAACCAGTGGCCTTCCCCAGGAGCTCTGGATGTCAATGCTGTTGCCTTGGATACGTTGCTTTACCGAAAACACAATAAACAGTGGTATGAGTAAGTGTAATACTTTTTTTCCAACTAATTACAAATTTAGTTGTGCCAAAACATATAGCTATCCACTTTGGTTTCTCAGTTATTCTTTCATCTGAATTCATTATTAGCTTAGAGCAAAAGCAGGATTTAAGACTACTTTGGCTTGGTGAGATTAGATTAAGGTAGTGGATGTGTTAATGTTTTGAAGCCAAGGCACCCTGGGGAAGTAAAATATCTGAGAAATTCTCATGCAGGATTGTATCAGCTGCCTACTTCTCCTGTTAGTCTTCAACCAGTCCTTCAGTTAAGTCTGTGAGCTGGTATTTAATGAGCCATCTATTTTTGAATTGTAGCTTTGGTGTTTGTATTTGCCTTAGGATTAATTTTTGTGCTAGTTAGAAAACACAAAATTCCATCTCACAAAAATATAGAAAGATATTTACTTGTTCTTGGTGGATCTAAAAGTGTTTTGTTCATTTTTGATAAATCTAATTTTTGGAAGCTATGAAAGATATAATCATTCCACCTGTGGGCCACAAGATCCTTTTCCTATTTCTTTGTCCCAATGTTCAAGACTATTTCATTTAGTCATAGTTTCCCAATGTTGAGAGAGCTGCAAAATCGTAGGCTGTCTTCCTTTAGATAATCTTCATTTTGGACCTTGTAAATTGTATTACCTTCTTTTGGCTTTTAGCCACTTTCCCATCTTCCTAATTTTTGCAGTATCTTTATTTTCCTATCTGTCTTCAGCTAATTTTCTGAGGATTTTCCCTGCTCTCCCTCCATCCCCTCTGTTTTCTCTCTCCCCTTCTGTCTCTCCCTTTCCTTCCTTTTCCCTCCTTCCCTCTCTTCCTACCTCCCATCTCTCCTCCCTTCTTCTCGTTCTCTTTTTGTTCCATTCTTTGCTCTTCTTTTAGAGCCCTTGTTTTGAAATTTCACTCGTACAGCTACATACATCTTTCTGTGCTTCTTAGCGTGGCTTCCACTAGGTAATTAGCAGCCAGACATTTCTACAAGGAATGTTTTATCACAGACATAATTTCCACCTGCTTTATTCTGTAATATTTTTTATCAAAGGTAGAACTCAGAATAAATTTGACCTTATGTTGTTTAAAAAATTGCTAGGTGTTTTAATGATTTTTGTTTGTTTCATTGATCGCTAGAGATAAGCAGGGAAATGAGCAGATTACAGAATAAATCAGTAGAACTCTCTTCAACATCTAAACTGTGCTGCTCAGTGTGATTCAAGGTGCTGAATCTTTTGTGGTTTGGAATCTAGTTCCCTTTTATACCCTGATGATAGTTATGAATAATTAGAATATATCTTATTATGCTGGTATATAATCTTATCTTTCTGTGGCATATTTAATTAATGGAAGGATATTAGTTTATTTGTATTTCTAATTGGTAATTGAAAAACGGAATTTATAGCAATACTTGGTACACTTATCTTGTCTATATATAACATATGAGATGCTCTTGGTTTTTTAACTGCAAAAATATTATAATACTAAATCCTGATATCAGGGTGGGGGAAAATCCCCTTTCTTCCCTTCTTGTGTTCTTATGGCTGGACTGATAATAAAATTGACACAAGACTAGATTAACAGGAGAAAAACCCAGTTTAATTACATACGTATTGGAGATCATAAAGAAATGATGCTTGGAGAGTGAACAAAGCGGGCAGTATATATATCTTTTACACAAAGAAACATAAATTTGTGAGGAATGACAGGACAAAGAAACTTAGATTTGAGGTATATAGTGAGGAATTTAAGCAGAGTTTAGGCTTGAGGTAGTCAATTAGCAAGGTTTGTTGATGCAGGCTTCTCCACTCTGAATTCCCCAGCTCTGGTGATAAGGATGGAGGGAAAACACCTTTCACAGGGGAGATTTATTTCCTGCTTTCAGGGGAACAGAGACAGGAGGGTCAGAATGCCCTTTTTGCTTCTCAAATAACTTTAATTCAAAATAATCAATGTGCTATTGTGGGATATTTTGGGGTGGCCTGCCATAGGTCCCAACACTGACAAGTTAAAAGACTAATAACTGTGTCTTTTTATTGCAATATCCACATTGTCACTTTAGATAGTGGGAGGTAAAATATTTTAACCAAAAGACATGTGTAAACTCCTGCCTGCTGACAGAGCTACCTATTAAGGAACCAATGAGGAGTCTAAGTGGAAGATTCATTACTACTTTACCTCTGCATGGAGTAATAGTGACTAGTTTTGACAAAGTATTGTAGCAGCAACAAAAGTAACTGCAGTCTCAGAAAAGAAAGCAGTAAACATGCCTGCTCATCTGTTTAGCTTAGATCCAGATTTTATACTTCTGGACTCAGTTACCATTAGCTTAAGGAGGGACACCCTTTCCTTCCCAGCATCATCCTCTAATCTGGCCCAACCTCAGATGTTGGTGTTGCTTTTAGATGGCCCTGTTGCCAAACTGATGTCCCTGAACAAAGAGTATGCAGCTAGGGTGCAGTACTGAGATCACTGGACCTGGAGTTTAAGGTTAGGATTTAACAGTCATCTCTGCTACTGACTTGCTGTGTAACACTAAGCAACACTTCCTCTTCTTACCTTTTGTTTCTGCACATGTAATACTGGGGGTAATGCTTATTGAAACAGAATTATGAGGGTCAAATGAGGTAATAAGTTGCCTGGTACTTAATATCTTCCTGGTAAATCTTTATTTATTTATACTCCATATAATCTTTTTTGTTTATATTCTCATATAACCTTGTGTCTTTCATGTTTGGAGAATACACACTCACCCAATGTCCCAAGCTCTACTTTTTTAGAGAGTTTCTAAAACCTTATGTAAAATTAAATGACCAGCAAATCCCCAACTGTTCTGAATAAATAATCCCAACTTTTTCATGTAAAAATGGAGGCTTTGGATTTTCAGACACAGAGTAGTGCTCTATAAATCGTGTTTGGAACAAATCATAGCTTTTCATCAGAATCTAGTTTTTGCTCTCCTCAAATTTATTATATAAGCCAAAGTTCTTGAACTCACCTGATCACTAATTCCTCTTAATTTGAGCAATATCTCAAATATCTTAATAAACGTTTATTGAGAACCAACAAATTATGGAGGAGGTAGCCAAAACCTCTTTAATAAGGAGCATTAGCTCTCTTGATAATTTGGAGAAAGAATCTGACCTTATAATGAGACATTATATTATAATTACCGTTTCCTGCTAAGAATATGGGATGTCTATAGTTATTTTGCTAGGAATTCTGTAACTTTATTCACCCAGTTAGCTTTGAGAAGAAAGAGAGTGTGCTGTCTGATTTAATGAATTCATGGACTTGTTGACATTTCTTAAAATGAGCCATTGGATAACTTGGCTATGTTGTCACCTACTCATGGAAGGATCGCTTTCACAATAGAAGATCTTAAGTTTATTTCCATTTACTGTACTGCTTATAAAACTTGAAAATATTATTTCCAGTTTATTTCTTGATTATTTGAACATGGTAAGATTAGTTGTGCTGGATTTTATCCTTTCCTTTATTTCAAACATAGGAATATCATGTTAAAAAATTTTAAAGCATTACAGGCTTACTGTAAAAACTCAACAATAAATAAGTATATAAAGCCCATTCCCTTAACACACAGAGCAACTGATTTCTTTTTTGTTTCCAATAAATTCTGTTTTGATATGTTTCTTTATATGTAAAGTCTAGGTCACAAGAGGTTGTTAGATACTGGTTATATAATCTTGTTAGATTATTGCCTAACCTACTCATTCCCATCCCAAAAGATCAGATTCATTGTCATCATATTTATATTTTCTACTTAAGCTTTTTTAGTCTTCTAAATTTATCATTGTCTTGCAATTTGGCTATCATTCACAAAATTATTGAGAATTAGGAGCTTTTATATAAGTCATGATCTACTATTTATGCTAATTTTTCTTAATGACTTCTGATGAGTAGATATAATCACTTCAGATGTATTAAAGGGTCTCCTTCCCTTTTGTGTCCTTCCAGTATTTTTGGAGCAGGATTCCCTAAAGCACTGAGGCTGCAGAAATCTTTTACATTTTATAAGTTTTGCATTGACTTGACTCACATATATTTTTCCCTTTCAGGCTCCCTTGCATCTTTCCATTAACTTTAATAGATTAGGAGTATATAGGTATTGTGCTATAGCAAATGCTTATTTTATTTCTTAAATATGTTTCTATGAAAATTAAACCCAGAATAAAAATAATAATATATCTGTTTCCATGCATATTCATGTGCCTCTGTGTATACAGTGTGCATGTATTTGTCTTTATTTTCTACATGTGGATAATGTCTCCTGTGCATCACACTCTCTGCTGCCCAATGACTACCAGATAATGTAAATTATTATTGACCCCAATACATCTATTGGGAAAATAAGTGATGTAGATTCTCCATATCATTACTTTTGACCATTGATATAAAGTATAAGATTGTAGAAAAATTTACTAATTCAGGTCTATTGCTTAATTTCCTTTAAATTTGCCTTTATTTGGTACCCAATTCTGTGTATAGAAGTTTGTATTTGAGTAATTTTAAAATGTTTAGATTTTTTTTTCAAAATTTTTTTTCTTTATTGTGAAATTTTTGTTCATTATTGTTTGTCAGTCACCATATAAATGCATCCCTTCACCCCTTGTGCCCACCCCCCACCCCCCTTCCCTGGTAACCACCAAACAGTTCTCTCTGTCTGCGTGTTGGTTTATCTTCTACTTATGAGTGAAATCATGTGGTATTTGTCTTTCTCTTTCTGTCTTATTTCGCTTAACATAATACCCTCCAGGTCCATCCATGTTGTCACAAATGGGACGATTTTGTCTTTTATGGGTGAGTAGTGTTCCATTGTGTATATATACCACATCTTCTTTATCCACTCATCAGTGGAGGGACACTTGGGTTGCTTCCATGTCTTGGCTGTAGTGAATAATGCTGCAATGAACACAGGGGCATAAACCTCTTTGGATTGTTGATTTCAGGTTCGCTGGGTAGATACCCAGTAGT